AATACCAGGTTAACCTTAAAGAAAGCCCTCAGGATTATAAAAGACCCCCATCACCCCAGCCACAAACTGTTCTGTCTGCTGCCATCTGGCACAACAGCCGCATTCTAGGAGAGGATGTGGCTGTTGTGGAGGACTACAAGTACCTGGGAGTGCACTTATGGGCTAAACTGGAGGATCAACACTGATGCTGTGCACAAGAAGGGGATGAGCAGACTCAATTATCTGTGGAAGCTGAGATCCTTCCACGTGTGCAGTAAGATGCTGGAGATCTTCTACCAGTCTGTTGTGGCCAGTGCACTCTTCTTTGCTTCTTCTTTGACACTGAACAGGCTGTTGTCCATGATGGATAACCCCACCCATCCTCTCCACCTGCAGCTGGACAGTCAACGGAGCTCCTTCTCCAACAGACTGCTGCAGCTCCGCTGTCACAAGGACCGATACAGGAACACATTCCTGCCCACTGCAATAACTCTGTACAATAAATCACCTCTGCTGGAAGAGAACTCTCTGCTCCATAGTTTCTCTTGTAATACAACCTCGCTGTACATTTTACACATATATAATCTGTTCAATATTTGATATTCCATATTCCATGTCATATATTTTTGAATATGTATATTTGCATATATAATATCTACATGTATATTTTCTATTTCAACACGTATATTTTCTATTTTCTTTTCTTTCTATTCTTGTTTATTTGTGGTTTTGTTTTATTGTAAAATGCCTTGTCTTTTATGCTGCTGCAACAAAAACAATAAAGTACCATCTTATCTTATCTTATCTTACATCCGGACTAAAACCACCAGACTCAGGGTGTCACAATCTTAAGGAGAACCCAAATGCAGCACTCGAGAAACCAAGGAGAATTGGTAATAAACTTTATTGGAGATTCCACTGGATCTGAGGAATTCCAACCGAGCAGTTTAACGCACCGGAGGACAGCGGGCAGAAGGTGAGTCAGGGACAGGCAGAGAGTCAGGGAGTAAGCGAGGCGGTCAGCGGGGATACAGGCAGGGTCGGATAACAGGCCAGACAGGATAGTCGAGGGACAGGCAGGATCAGGGAACAGGCAGAGCAGGCAGATCGAGGACAGGCAGGATCAGGGAACAGGCAGATCGAGGACAGGCAGGGTCGGAACCGGGTAGGCAATCTAGTTTCAAACGCGGGAAAGACAAGCATGAGGCAAAGTACAATCTGGCAAAGAGTGTGTGTAAGGTGCGGGTTTAAATACTGGCAGAAGCTAATGGGTGCAGAAGAGAAAGAGAGTGAGCTAATGAGTGGGTGTGGAAAACAGGTGAGACAGGTGAATGGAAAACTACTGGTGAATGATGGAGCAGACTATGACACAGGGACAGTTTCATCCACAGGCCATAAGACTATTAAACACCTGAACTTTGCAATAACATAGCATTCATCTGGCTGCTACTTAGAAATGATTGTCTAATATATCATATATTCCAATCACTTGTTTTAGACTCTTATTGCACTATTTCATTTTTTACTATTTTACTACTTTTCTTTTTGTATTGACTTGCACTATTTTTTCTGTGTATCTGTTTTACTGTGTTGCACTGTTGGGGGAGCCTGTGACTAAGGTGGGGGGGGGGGGGGGTAGGAGACGTTCGATTCCTGTTTGAATAGTGTGCCGTGATGGGTTTCATTCCATTTTCAAAATGCTGTTTGTCGCTCGGCGTAAACTTCGCGCACTGCCACTCCAGCATCCAATCACAGAGCTTGAGGACAAATCATCGGGGTTTGTCAAGCAAAGCACATGGTGTAGTCCCAAACGATAGCTGAGGATTCTGGGTAGTGTAGTGTCTTCGGCCATTCTAACTGAACAAATATTTGTTTCTCCGAATCGAAGGGGGAAAATTACAAAGTATTGCACACAATTTAAACCAATCAATGATGTGTAATTAACAAGGATAATCTGGTTGTGTTTGAGTTGATGAGTAGTGCAGATATCACTGGAAAATCAATCGACAGTAAGAGAATACTTACTTCCGGCTGTAAAACCCTCCGGTTATCCATATGGGAATGGACGCTGCTCACATTGCTCTCCGTAATACAATAAAGGGGACATGATCAAATCGGAATATAATGTATTTTTAAAAAACGTTAACTAAAGGGAACAATCTATTTGACCACAGCTGAAGCTCTGGCCTTCCTTAAAAACTAACTAATTTAATACAAATCACAGTTGTATTACACACAATGCACTGTTTTTTGAGAACAAAAATTCGGTAACTAATGCACCATAATACATTCTGACGAAAAATAAAAATGATTATGAATACAAACTAAAATAAAAGAAAGCCTCCCGTGAGTTACTACAAGCTATACAGTAGATTTTATAAACGTTTTATAGAATAAAAGTTGACTGCAGGACGTTGTAGAAATTCGTGTTCACACACACACCACACACACACACACACACACACACACACACACACACACACACACACACACACACACACACACACACACACGCACGCACGCGCACGCACACACACACACACACACACACACACATCATGCGCCCCGGTGACAGGACATCTCCTTCATAAAGCGAGGGGGGAATACTCTGGTAGTTCGATGTGTGTATAGGTGTGTGTGGTTAAACGTAGCAGCCTCGATCTCTATTCAGCGGTTCTAATGAAGGGAAAGGCAGGTGAAGTAAACTGTAAAAGGCACAGCTCTTTGCAGCTGGTGCTGCTCTTCTCAGATCTGCTGAGTTACACGTTACTGCCTCCAGTGCCCTGTACGACGAAGCCAGTTCAACAGACCCTGGATATGTTTGATTTACCCGGCTTAACTAACCCTAACAAACGCGATGTCGATAAGCGGTCCTACGAAGCTGGTATTCAACTCAGTAAATCAACCAGGGTTTCTCTGTCCGGCTGAGAGCGCGCTCACGTGAAAGGGGACGGGGTTAGCAGCATTTGACCATCACAAACATGGAGACGCGTTCTGACAGCGCAAGCGTCATACTTCATGAATGAATAGTGTAAATAGCAAATCCTGCTTCGTAGTACAGGCCACTGGTGCCGCAGAGATTTCATAAAGTGAAGGATGGTTTTCCTTCTATAAAACAGCTGTGGGCAGCAGATACTGTGAGTCACGGTTTTAAATAAAACGAGGCCACGCTTTATTAACTCGTGCGCACGCTTTATTAACTCGTGCGAATGAGAAAGTAAAACGTGGCCACGTTTTATTTATTTTTCCCTCAATGAACCCTCCAGGGCTCCGTACCTCTGTCTCAATGATGAAAGTTATAATAATAGAAGACATGAAGCTGCAGAGAGAGGATGGATATATTCTTACCTCTACTTTGTGATAACACTGAAAATACAATATTACATTGTAATTGTTAAACACATTGTTTATTTCATTACTGAGGTTTATAACCATTATTTACAACATGTGTACATAAACAGTGGAATAATAGGATATCTCTAGTCAGTGTTTCTCAAACTTTTTCAATTAAGGACCACTTAACCAATACAAAAACACTCGCGGACCACCTAACTCCACAAATATCCAAAATCACATCGTTTTTTCTAGAACAGATTACAAATCGCCTGAAAATGGTACAAACAAGTGGCAACATGTGTGATGAAGGTGTTGCCACTGGGCTATATCATATTGAAACTTAAGCTCGCTCCATTGCGGAGATATTCCCGCGTGAGTGCGGAAAACTTTAATTTATTAATTAATTAAAAATGTGAAATGTTACCAATATACTCACGGACCACTAGGGGGCGCTCACGGACCACCAGTGGTCCGCGGACCACACTTTGAGAAGCACTGCGGCTAGGTCATTCAACTGTCTTCAGTTTAATTTATTAATACAAAAAATAGGTCATAGAAAATGTTTAATTGTGTATTTCCGCAGAGCGGGGGGGTCACGGTGCTGCTGGACCTGGAGGTGCTGACCTGGGGTCAGTGGGACATCATCTGGGCAGGTTTAGGGGAAGAAGGGAGAATATAAACTGTTATAATCACAGCTATTAAGATTAGAACAATAATATTGTTAACAATCAATCTATACAACATGCTTTGTTCATTTAAAAAACATATTGTTTTATTGTTAATATGAAATAATATGATTAAATTACATCAGCTATATTTAATTTATTTGTAACTACTAATGTAACATTACTGGGGGCTAAAGGAACTGCTTCATCTTATTTACCTGGCCATGGTTCTCTTTATTTCATCGCCTACGGTGATCTCCAAAAACATTTAAAAGTAAAAGTAAAGTTCCTGGATCCTTTTCAGCTGAGTTAGCTTGTAAGCTAATTTGCTAGCAGGCTGCTGGAGCAACGCAACCGAACAGCGCGTATCATGTGACGTAAATACGAAGCGCTCCGTAGGCTAGACCGTCTCATTTCGAGGCACTCGGTCCAGCCTACCCGGTCTACGTGGGCTGGGTCCTCCGTGGACCGCGTAGGCGGGTCCTTCGTACTCCGAAGGGTGCAAGCCCCTGAATTGAGGACACGGCTGGATAGGGATTTCTTTTTGTATTTTCATTTCTAAGTGGTTGACCAATCACAACAGAGCCGGCCAACTAACCAATCAGAGCAGACTGGGCTCTGGTTCAGACAGCGGGTGAAAAGATTGGTGCTGCAGCACAGGCAGTATGAAAAAAACAAAGAGCTTTTGAACATCCAAGTATGGAGACATGTCACAGTAGAGACCATTAAATACAAATATGAACCTGAAAATGAGCAGAATATGTCCTGCTTTACGGGATTTAAAATGTAAATGTGATAAACACTCCGGGGCAGCAGGTGGCGCTAATGCACCCAATTAGCTGCATGCCAACCGCGTTAAACCAGGAATCAGAAGAATGAACCTGTGTTGATGACCCGGCATCACCCGGCATGTGCCTCACGTCGCTGGGCCGCATTACCTCTGTGGATGACAACACCTTGCTGAATAGAAAAAAATACATAGTTTTAGCTGAGTTATTTTAAAAGATTCATAGTTGTAAAATGCCTAAGAAAACGAAAGAAGGCGCAGAGTGGGTGGACGATGAAGTGGCCCCCGGCCAGCTGGTGAGAGCAAGCTAACGTTTAGTTAGGAGTTAGCTAGCAGGCTAAGTAGCTACAGCTAGTGTTAATCATGCAGTGGTCCGCATACACTGTTACTTATGCCAAACTCCATTAAATATCTTCTATAGTTGCTCTTACATGCAAAGTAAAAACATGTATATGTGGTCATACACAACTTGAACTCTTTCATGAATCTTCAGAATGTTTTGTTCAATTCGGATGTAAGGACATTTCATCTACAGGCATTTCTTTGATTAAAATCCAGATGATACACCTGAAGAAGTAACGGTAAATAGCTACCTAACGTCATGATTACACAGTGACAAGCCTCTATATTAATATCACTCAAATGTCAAGAGGGGAAACAACAGTTGATAAACATCTGGTTTAAAGAAATGTTGACTGTATGAATAGTTTAGCGTTTGCCATCAATAACAAAATATAGTATTATCTTATTTGCAGTGATAAGAGAAACCTAAATCACAAGTGAACGGCCGTCATGTTTAACAGTGACTTGAACAAAGCACAGTTTCAGGCTAAACGTTGCCCATTTAAAAAAGTGATGCAATGCTTTTGTCTGCTCTGACATGTGACAGTGTGGCAGTGTAGTCCTCAGTTTGAAGGTAAAACACATGCTTTTAGACCAGAGCTGGAGTCCTGCATTGCACATTTTACTCAAGTAAAGTATTTAGCATCAAAATATACTTAAATTAGTCATTGTGCAGATTGTCCATTTCAGAATAACATATATGATATGTTTTATTTATTAAAGTGTTCTCAAAGCTGGTAAAGGTGCAGCTAGTTTGAATGACTTTGTATACTGCAGGGTAGCTGGTGGATTTACTCCAGGTGGAACTAAAGTCTGATTCAACACTTGATTATATTTCACACTCATTCTTCCAGATCTGTGAAGTAACTAAAGGAATTAAATCAGTGGCGTAGCCACCATAGGGCCACTCATGGCCCCACCCTGAGAAAGCTTCGGTGTTGTTTAAAAATGTATTTACATTTTTTTTTAAATCATTTTATTATTATTATAAAAAAAGTATTCACCCATTGAGAATATCCAAGCATTCAAAGTGAAATTCAAGTGAACAAATATCGAGTTTAATTCATGTTGTATGTGTTCTGTCCTCTGAACCGAACTCATTATGGTAAAAAAATGATGGCACGCGCCATAATAACGTGAGAGAGGCAGAGCGCTGCCTGCAAAATAAATGATGGCTCAAAGTTCACTAATGAACTTTGGTTTAAAAAAAAAAAAAGCCAGACTCCAAGAAGAGCCCCCACTGCCCTCATCTAGCAGCGATCTATACGATCATTTTCTGATAACGATGAAATAGCCCCGCTCCCTCTCCCCACGTCTCCCTCTCCCCACGTCTCCCTCTCCCCACGCCTCCCTCTCCCCACGCCTCCCTCTCCCCACCCCTCCCCACCTCTCCCTCTCCCCACCTCTCCTGCTGCTGGGCTGTCAGAAGAAAATAAATGTTAACGGAAACCCCTCCGCACGGTTCCCTCGTCCCTTGGAAGAGGCGGAGAGGTGGGTGTTTTTCATCTGCTGGTGGACAGTCCGGAGAGATATACACAGGGTTTGGTTGTAACGGAGTACATGTAACGGCGTTACGTAATCAGAATACAAAAATCAAGTGTATTCAGCTGGCGTTACATTTGAAAAACGAGTAATCTGATTACAGTTACTTTCGTAAACCTGAAGTGAATACATTTTGGAATACTTATTGGAATTATTGGTGGAAAAGTTTCCTCACAACATGTAATATTCATTACCGGCAGAACTGTGTGCACACTGCACGGCGCTGCAGCATGTCTGTGAGCGAGAGAGATGCAGCGTGTCTGTGAGGCCCCGCCCCCGGCACGCAGATGAGAGAGAGATCTCTTTTAAAATATATTGAAAGTTAGAAACGGAGATGGTTAGATAAATGTGCAAGATAACGTTTATGTAGCATTTCTTTATTGTCGAGATGATGACATTTAAACGGGATCAAATCAAAGTGAATGGCCTGCTGCTGCTGAATGCATGGGGCAAGTGACTGAAACAGTTTTAAAAGTTATTACATCGTTTCAGATAATAATAATAAAATAATAATGATAATTCATTCGATTTAGGGGCGCCTTTCAAAGCACCCAAGGACACCTTACAATTCATAACATATTCTAAGGAAAGGTTTTTAAGACAGTACAAGAAGGCAGTCCGGCAGACCCGGCATCATGGGCGGGCCCCATGGGGCCCGGGCCCGCCCATCCAGGATTTGGGCCTGCTGTTTTAATCAGGGCTGAATACAAAATTGTAATTGTTTTGTATTATTATGTTCAGTGGCTGGCACCAGGGTATGGCTGGGGTAGGCTACAGCCATACCAAGAAATGGCTTAGCCCCACCATGAAAAATGATGTTAAAGTAAGCAAAATAAGGTCCGCCAACTCGCGCGGTAGTTAAATTGCACAGACAGCAGTTAGTCAGATTGATTTCAGTAGCCACTTGTCTGGAAATACCGAAGACCTAGAAACGGTTTTTGAAAACTTTTGTCACGTAGTGATCGTCTTCTCAATAGAACATCTTTGATAATGTCTTCTGGCCCAATCAGAATCAAGATAACGGCGTGGTGTTGTTGCAGGTAGTCCCAACGGAGAATACTTTTGCTGTATAACATCTCTTTATACATCGATACAACATTACGTGTTGATAGAAATCAAGAATCGATGTCGATCCCCCCAGACCCCCCTGCAGGGGTTGGGTATTCAGCATGTGAACTCTTTCACCTGTGGGGAAGTTGCAAAGATTGGCTCCAGGTCGCCCTTTTTATTTACTACAAGACAATGTGCCTTTTTATTTTCATACAGTTTCAATTTGGATTGAGACAGGGAAATAATCTAAACCTCACGCATGGCGTTTCACTGTCAAGGGGAGCGTGTATGTAATTACATTGCAAATACTGACTTGAGCCCCACCACTGTATGGGTTAGCCCTACCATAGATTACCCAACAAAAATACTCTGGAGCCGCCACTGATTATGTTTATTGTTGTTATTTGTAGGGCTTTGTCCTAATATTTATTTTGTTTCCATTTCCATTTTTGTTTCCAATATCATGTTGAAAGATTAGTTTAATATAATTTTTTAATTTTGCTATGAAATTCTGAATGAAAGGCTGTGCGCGAGACTGGTTTTTCGCTGGGTTGAGTCGTGTGGGTTTTTGAGTGAGGTGCGGCACAGCAGCCTGTCAGTTACTCTTGCTAGGTTAGTTTTGGCTATTATCATTTATAATTTATCTGCCAACAATGGATATATCAGTAAGTGGTTCATGAAAGGAATATGGCAACTCAGCGCCAGATTGCAGGCACATTAGAAGACATCAGTTACGTTACCAACGAGCGCCGAGCATGCCAGCCAGGGACAAGGGAGGCTGGCAATCAATTATATTTTGAAGAGAAATTGACTCTCAAGCCGGCTCTCCTCACAAACTCCTGCTCTTGTGCGCAAGCAGACCGCTGCACACGCTCTCTGCCTCGCTCAATCTCTCTCTCTCTCTCCCTTTCTCTCCATCGCCTCAACCTCACTCCACCCTCTCCACCCTGTGTGCGCTCCTCAAGTTTGCCTGCGTGCTTGCCTAGTTGGCACAGCGTTACAAATGTGCCACAAAACCAACCAATGGATGTAGCGTATAATAAGACCGTCAACAGCCTTATGGCAACCTAAAACCCCCTCTGTTGTCCGTAACAACAATTCACGAGCGGTCTCCCTAGCCCCCCCCCCCCCGTTGACAAATCTCGAGCGTCTATAGCCCCCCCCGGGTTGACAATTCTGATTTCCCGGAAATGTAAGTGTCGTGGTGGGCCCGCCCTGGTAAATCAAATGCCCGCCCAGAGACGTATTTCTGCCGCGGGTCTGCAGTCAGGGTGATGTTTTTTATGTGTTGTTGCAGATGAGAGAGCTGTCCAGAATGACACCAAGATGTTGTGTTTGAGTTCTTGATGAGCCATAAAACAATAACATACGTGTCGTCCTGTTCAGCAAAAACATCCCATCTGTTATTGGAAAAAGAAAGTATTCCAAAAGTATTCTAAAAGTAATCTGCCACCGGTACCGCCGGGATTGTTGTTAGCTTCTGATGCGCAGAAGAAAAATCTGGCCCACCACTATTTTTTACAGGCCCACCCTAAAGTACATTTCTGCCTATGCTACTGTATTAAATACATGTAGTTGAGGGAAAAGTACACCATTTACCTCTGAGTTGTAGCGGGGTTTAAAGTAAATCATAGTTTCAAATTAAATATATTTAACATTTTTAATTTTTATTTTACCGGCAGTGATGAACACATTAATGCATGAACAAAAATAATTGAATCAATTCATGAATATTATTTTAAAGTGGGACCTTACGCATAGGCCTGTCACGATAATATATTTTGATGGACGATCAATTTTTCTGGAAATTATTGCGATAAACGATAATATTGTCGGCACCGTTGTAAGACCATTTTAGACCACTGACATAATGATCATATATAATAATAATTCAAGTACATCCTTTCAAACAGAACTTTGTATTGAACATTCAACATTGCAAATGAAATGTGAAATAATATTAAAATATATAAATTATATATAATAAATAAAACAAATTAATTAAATTATAATAATAAATTAAATCACACGCAACCAAAACAATAAATTAAATAGAGTCAGGCTGGAAAACAGAGCTCTCTCTCTCTATCTATCTATATATATATATATCTATATTATTTATAGATATATAAATAAATATGAGCACACATTATCTCACAAGCAAAGAAAGCCTCCTTAAAAACAACAGTCAAGTGTACAGTCCACTGTCCATACAAAGACCCAGAGGCCTCAAACAGGCCTTATCCAAATCTGTTTTCAAAGTTTTCGAGCAAGGAACAGCAACATGTTTGCATTGTCGGGCAAATGCATCTTTGATTGTAAACTGTCAGGAAGGTGGGGGCTCTCCATCTCCAGCTGCCGTGTTTGCCTCCCAGCTGGGAAAATGGTATGGGGTGGTTGTGTTTTAGGTGTAGTTTAAAATGCGTGGTATTGCCTGCTTTTGTCGCTACCTTTTTTAACCAAATGCGACACACCGCCCGGGTCATTGAAGGCCGTAGGTTCGCCTCGTTGATTTGGCTTGAATCCAAAATACTGCCACACCGGAAGAATCGAGATGTGTAGTTAGGTTTTGTATCCAATTCCATTTCACTTTAAATTCCCCGCGAGTAAGTCACACGTTGTCTCCGCTTGTCGCTATATTATTAATTTGGCTGCTGCACGTGCACGCGGAGTGTCCTGACCATAGACTGTATATATAAAGGTCCTGACCTGGCTGTTGTGTCAGCCGCCCTCACAGCGCGTGTGTTCGGTAGCCACAGCGCTCCTAGCTAAACATGCTGGTCACATCCTTATGTAAACGGCAATTAATCGAGTTCAGAAAAGTTATCGAGTCCATTTTTATTTATCGTACGATAAGTCAATTTATCGATTATCGCGACAGGCCCTACTTACGCACAATAAGTAATTTTACTTTTGGTGCTTTTTAGTATGTTTTGATGCTAATACTTTATTACTTTTTACTTGTAACTAGTATTTTTTCTACTGTCACTTAAATAACAATTCTGAGTACTATCTTTCACCTCTGTATAAACAGATAAAATGCAAAAGAAAGGAAACAATGACTCGGAGGATAAAAGTGCTGAGTCACAGGTTCATGGTATTTGAGTGTAGAACTCTTAGCTCTGGATACAGATGAGGTTGGCAGACGTATTTCTCCGTCTTTGTTGACTGATAAAAATTGTAATGGCTTTATTGAAGGTTCATTTAACTCGTCCAGTTACATTGTGTCTGTATTGAGTATACATTTTATAAAAGGGCCACAAGTTTTATCTACGGATGTGAATGCTGTTCATACGTATATGAAACCTCATAGCTTCCACTGATTTGTGAAATGTTTTTCTTACAGCTGAAAAACTGTGAAAAAGGGCAAGAAAGATAAAAGGGGAAGAAAAGTGTAAGTAATTCTTTGTATCGTTTTGTAAATGATACTCAGTTGTTAAATGCTCCGCCTCACTGGATTTGTTGTGCTCATGTTTTTCTCCAGTTCTTTGAGGAGCTGGCCACAGATGTCAAACCTGAGAAGGAAGATGAGGTGGCTGTGAAAGAAACGCAAGGAAAAACAGGTAATCCTCCCTCTGACAGGAGAGGCAAACTGGCCTTGAGTCTCCAGCTATGATGTATGCAGCTCACTTTGATGGCAAGTCCAAACAAAGAGAAGAGGATCAGACGTATTTGAAAATAATTTTTTTTATTGTAAAGCAAAATATGGCATGTACAAACAGCCCCAACAGCTGACTATAATTTACCAAAGAAAGACACTAAAAGGTTTAATAAAGAAGACTTATTTCTGACAAAGTGTTGGTCAATGAAATGTGAGGTTTCACAGTTCTACCTGGAGCTCTGCATTTGTGCCCTTATATGTAAAGGAGAAAAAAGGGGGCCAGTCGGCAGTATTGGCTTCTCAAAACTAATTTCATCCATTAACTTAAACCGAAGCACAGAAAGGCAATAACATGATAATATAATGGGGGCAAAAAAGATACAATTAATATGCTGTAAACAAGACATTTCAAGTCAGACATTTTGCCAAAAACTCCAAATATGAGGAGCCAAAAATGTAAAGTTCATTCAAATCCAAAACAAGTAATTGGTGAAAATGTAATGGTGGGCAGCAGGAACCGGTGTGAGTACGTGTGTTTAGATAGATAATGATAGCATGTTAGCGCTCCACTTCTGTGCTATTGATGGCAAGTTTGTTGGAATAAATAAATAGACATACTGCATTTACGTACATCAAAATGAGTGTGTGGATGTATTAAACACACTGGTTCTCAGTAGATATGGAAACCCAACATCTTATATATCTCAAATAAATGAAAATATTTGAATAAATTCTCTTTAATGCTAATGAAAGACTACAACTTGTGAAATAAATAAATAAATAATCAAATATTACTTTATACATAAATAAAATTAAGAAAAATACTATGATTAAAAAGACAAAATACTTTTAAAAGGCACTTTTTAACATTTCTGATAAAACATTTTTTTCAACACATTCAATGAGTTTAGTCATTTAAGACATTTAAGATTTTTTTTAATATATTTTACATATGTTTATATCATAATTGTTCTTATTTATTTAATATAAAAGTTTCTGTAGCTTTATTAATAAAATATTCTGTGTAACTCTATTGACCCCGGTTGGCTAAATGTGATCAATCTACATGAAAGACAGTTTCTTTGTCAATGCCATTACAAACTTTGGTTACATTCATTTAGCCACTGGCTCGTTTCCTATTGTCACAGCATCTCTGATGCATTCTACTATCATATTTATCCATATTTCCCCGGGCATGCATTGATACTGTGTTTTTCTACTCAACATCGATGTCGTTTTTTAAAACGATTTCTCCACCAACTCCAAGACTTGCATCACATTTGATCTACTTGTTATCTCAGAAAAAAGAAGAAAGACAGGCGGAAAGGAAAAGGTGGGAATGCAGCTGACGATGACGATGAGGATGTCATGCTGAAGCTGAAGAAGCTCTCGGTGCAGGCCAGTGATGAGGAAGACGAGCCAGGTATGATGTTTGAACACTGACCCAGAATCAATGTTATTCTCACATGTGTACTTATTCAGTGATTTTGTTTTCTTCCAGTCATCGCCCCCAGCAAAGGAAACAAGAAAACTAAGGTTAGTTCTTTACTTTTCATTCTGTCTTGACTCCTGACATGTTGCAGTGTAAAGCATCTGTTCCTCCTGCAGGGTGGAAACATCTTCGCTGCTCTCAGCCAGTCCCAGAGCGACGAGGAGGAGGAGGAGGACGCTGATTTGGACGAAGAAGATAAACCAGCAAGAAAGGTACAGTGCCTTTAGCTCATGGCCTCCAACTACCACAGATGAAATGATGCTACCTTGATTCATAGCTTTTAACTACATGAAATGAATCAAATTAAAGAAATAATGTGAACTGAAGCTCATGTAAAACATAATTTAAGCCGAGTTTCTTCTACACTTCCACAGTCCGAAACCAGAGTAAACTAAGCCTGCAACACATTTTCCATAGCAGCGCATTACAGCATCACTCCTTCTGTTCTTACCCCTCATACAAAAAGACAACTTAAATGTACTCTAAAGGCCCTGACACACCAAGCCGATTTTGTGTGTGTGTCAGTGCCAAACCCGGCCTGTTTTTTGTTGCGTTTCCACTAGTAGTAGTTCGGCTAACGGGTGTTTTTTCACAGTTTTTCTGGCCCTCCAAACTCGTGGTTCTTTCCGGGCCAACAACCGGACTGAGTATGCTAAACTAGAGAGAGAATCGCTGGCAAGAGGGCTATAACTACCACAAAATGAACATATTTTACCGTGATTTAATTGTAATACACGTTTAAAAAATGATGCCGAAGTAATAACATACTGATACCGGTTAGTAAAAACCATGAATTAATGCTTTGACAAGTCTGCAGACAGACGGCAGGCGAAAAACCTTTTTAAAATGCGTGTTTTCTAAATGGAGATCGGCTAAGCATTGAAGATGACGTCACTGCGCCGCCTACACTGCGTTACTATAGTTACTGCCCCAGTTCCTAAACTGTAATGGAAACGCAGCATAAAGTGAGCCTGGTCTACCAAGGCCTAACTATACTGTACTACCGTGCGAGGCCCTGCAGTATGCGCCATAAGAGAAAACAGCTTATATTATCAATCAATCAATCAATGTTTATTTATATAGCCCAATATCACAAATGTTACATTTGTCTCAGTGGACTTTACAGTTATTAGCATTAGAAGAAGAAGACGACATACTTTACAAATTCAACAAGGTGACACAATCAGTTTTCCCTCTGTTATTTCACCTTTCTTTATTGATTTTCACTTATATCAAAACAACGCAGGGCACATGAAAATGCAGATGTGCAATCATACAATTGAATTGAATTACATTTGTACATTTGTACCACAAATACAAATGTCATTGCAGTACATATACTGTGCAAGCACATACACGTAATATATATGTATATACGCACATACACATATTCATACACACCCACAGCTGCACTTAAAGAAATAAAATAATAAAATAAACAAAATAAATAATACAATCCACTAAAAATAAACAGTAAATTAAAAGGGAAGGTTGGGGGGGGGGGCTTCATGCAGTCAGATTTGCACAGGGGAGTTAAAATAGTCAAGGAAAGGCTGCCAGAGCTTGTAGTATTTGTGAACACATCCCTGGCTACGATACCTCAGCTCCTCCAGCTGCAAATGTGCCATCACATCCCTCACCCAGTGGGCGTGAGATGGTGGAGTCCGGTCTTTCCATTTGAGGAGGATTAGACGGCGGGCAAGAAGGGTTGCAAACGCAAGTCAGTGTGACTGGCAATTAGAGAGGGAGACCCCCTCAGGGGCTACTCCAAACACAGCTATTATGGGATTTGGTTGTATGTTCTGGCCATACATCAATGAAAACGTTTCAAATATAGAAGACCAAAATGGGGCAATGGACTGACAGGAGAAAAACATGTGCAATAGGGTAGCCGTGGCACAATGACACCTCTGGCATGTGGGATCAACATCAGGGTACAGCCTGGCAAGCCTGCTCCTGCACATATGTAATCGATGGAACACTTTAAATTGAAGTACTCCATGCCTCACACAGATGGAGGATTTATGTATGTTCTCAGTTGCAGACCGCCAGGTCTCATCGGTTAGTTCTATGCCCATTTCTTCTTCCCAGGCACCCTTAAGGTGGTTAAGGGAAGGGCTAGAGATTTCTTGAATAATATTATATAGCTTTGAGATATAGCCTCCCTGACAAGGTTTGAGGCCAAGGCAGTCTTCCATCCATCCACCAGGTGGGGCGGCCGGGAAGGAGGGAAATAGTTTTCTTGTATAATCACGAATTTGTAAATATCTAAAATAATGATTCCTTGGGATGTCATATTCTTTGACTAAATGTTCAAAAGATGTGAATACCCCTTCGTAGAACAGATCAGCAACACACTTAAGTTCCTTCCGGGACCACAGGTGGAAAGCGGAGTCTATCAGGGCTGGTTTGAAAGCCGGATTGCGAACTATGGGGATGGAGGAGGATAGTTTGTCTATATCCAAAATGCCTCCTGAAACTGTGACCATATCCTAAGAGAGCTATTGACCACAGGGTTGTTCGAGTGATATTTTCTACTAAGTGGTAAAGGAGCACACATCAGGGAGGCAGGGGCCAGTGGTTCACACGAGTGTTGTTCCATGCTAGACCAAATAGGACCGCCCCCTTCCCGGAAATGACTCATCCAGAATAATCATTTTATGGATATTGGCAGCCCAGTAGTAGTGTAAAAAAAATTGGGTAATGCAAGACCCCCCCTCTGTCTTTCTCTTCACAAGAAATGCCTTATGCAGACGGGGAATTTTCTTATTCCAGATAAAAGTGGAAATATATTTGTCCAGGTCTTTAAAAAACTTTTTAGGGAGAAAAACAGGAATTGACTGAAAATAATACAGCATACGTGGCATAATAACCATTTGAATGGTGTTCACCCTGCCCGCCAACGAAATAGGGAGTGACGCCCAGCGCTTCAGGTCCTCATTAACCTTGTCCAGAGCTGGTTGCAGGTTCTTTTTAAACAGGGTTTTAAAGTCCTGTGTCACACACACTCCCAGGTAGGTGAAAGAGTCAATGGCCACTTTAAAGCGGAGTTCGCTAAATGAAAGCTTGGCCGCAGTCTCATTGATGGGGAAGAGTACACTCTTGGTCATGTTGATCTTATACCCAGAAGCCTTGCCGAAAGAGGTGATTACATCGAGTGCAGCCGGAATGGACCTAAGCGGATCGGAGCAGTACAGTAAAACATCGTTTGCATACAAAGACAGCTTATGCGTACAGCCTCCTCGCTGAATGCCTGTAAAATTTGACCAATTCCTGAGAGCAGCTGCTAACGGTTCTATGGCTATATCAAACAAGAGGGGGGACAGGGGGGCATCCATGCCTTGTGCCCCGTTGAAGCCGGAAGTATTTCGAAATTATATTATTAGTGCGAACTGCTGCCTGAGGTGCAGAGTAGAGGACCTTTATCCAGGAGATAAAGCATGGGCCGAAGCCAAATTTAGCAAGAGTTGCAAATAGGTAGTCAAATTCAATGCGATCAAAGGCTTTGTGTGCGTCTAGAGAGATGAAGGCCTCTGGAGAGAGTCCTGGATTTGAGTAAATTATATTATATAGGCGCCGAAGATTCCCAAAAGACTGTCGGCCTTTTACAAACCCTGTTTGGTCCGGGTGGATGATTCTATGCAGAACAGTCTCAAGGCGCAGAGCTTTGGAGAGAATTTTGTCATCACAACAGACTAGACTTACTGGTCTGTAGGAGTCACATTTCGCTGGATCTTTGCCCTTTTTAAGGATGACTGTTATCACCGCCGGAGCTAATGTGGGGGGCAGTGAACCCTGCTGGAGTTAGGGCTGTGCAATTTAATCGATCCTGCGATATATATCGATATTTAGTTTTCCGAGAAAGTATCGATATTTCAGCCACGGGTATCGATACATTAATTCTGATAACTGTGTTCGTTATTCTCGCGTCCAGGAGAGAAGCTTTAAAAAGGAGACTAATTGAGTCTCTGAGAAGGTTCAAATGTATACTTTAATTAATAAAAAGCGCGGTAATGTTACAAGCAGAAGATGGTTCAGTCAGAAAAACAGCTGTGTTCTGGCTCTCATGAGCAAAGGGAAGAGAGCGAGCTCCACCTTTCCAGCTGTTAAATATCCTCTGCTGGCTCCTCCCTGTGGGCCGGTTGGCGCTGCTGGTGGCCGGCCCTCCACGTCTCCAATGTTCATTGTTGCGCATTACAGAGGATTCAGACATTGTACATTAAATATATAACTAAACACGCCTTTCCTCCTCCTTATCTCTTTCATGACTTTTCATTTAATACATTTTAAACGCTGTAATCAATACTCCAAAAATACCTCACGGCTGGTATCATTTCCGGTAGTTCCGGATGTTGTCTCATGCTACCCACGTCTGTAAACAAACGTATTCAAATAAACTGTACCTTCATTTAATATTCAGCAATAATAATATCTCGACGTCTATAGTTGTAGTGTTGAAATCAGTAGGTTTCGGTGTGCAACACTCCGTGTCATATCACTACTAAATTCACCTCTATAGTAAATGGTATATTAGCCACATGCTAAATGCTAACCGGAGATGAAGGATTTTCAGAATAAAAGCTTAACAACTGGTTGTGCACAAGAACTTCTGGTTTTTCAGTATAAAACAGCATTTAAACTGACGGTATGTTTAAGGTACTTTATGCCATCAAAACATTGATTTTAATTTCTAACAAGTCCCATTCAAATCCCCCGTGTTCCGCCACCTGCTGCACCTTTTAATTCTCCATTCTCCATTGTGATACTGCACTTTATGTACTTACGTTTCAAAGGCTTGTAAGCTACAGTTTGCACTGTTTCAATAAATGAAACAAATTTTCTCACCACATCTTTTGATTCATTTTGTCCAGCATTTGCAAGCTGTAGACTCTCTGTCAGAGCCATATATTGTATAATTGATGCTTTCAGTTTTCAGTTGAATTAATTCAATCCAAGTCAATGGAACACTCAAGATGTCACCAAAATCACACTGTCCCTTTAAAATCTTTCAGAAAATGCACAATTCACAGCAATAAGAACATAAACACCATTGACAACCTAAAATAGAAGGTCCATATGTAATTGAAGTGATTGAAACAACATTCACAATAAAGAACTGGTCCCTCCCCAACTGAGGGACTGCTACCCGCCCCCCGATAACACTCGCACCTCAACGTGGACAGCTTACCTGGCGAGATCGAGCCCCGCCAGA